CGTACTCTGGCGTTGGAAAGGACAGGAGAGCACTGTGAAACATTTCTGATGGCAACTCGTGAGTGATCTGTAGTGGGTCGAAGTCCTGATGTGTAGGACCCAATTTGCTGTTAGGAGATAAAAGGTTTCTGCTTATGTGCCTTTAGGACAGACAGCTGGATGGAGGTTGGTTAAAAGTAACTCTATTGTTATTCTTGTCTTCCTAATCCTTGGCCGGTAGCTACTCCTAAAGCTCTTCAGAAGAATTAGAAGTAGAGCTTTAAAATGAATTGGATACAGAGAAGGAAGCTTGAGAAGAGAGCATTAAACCAGATAAAACTCAATGCCTAGCACTGTTAGTAAACAGCTCTTGTGGAAAAATTGTGTACTGATTTCTTTTGGCAGCGATCCTGGTGCAGGCATTTTGGCTGTCCCAGCTGATCATTCCCAATCCTTTATCATCTCTTCACTTGTGGTGGTAGAAGTACTTGAGGGTGTGTACAGGAAACAAGACTGGAAGACAGATCTGATACAAAAAAACATTTTTATGTATATAAATAAAATATGGGCAGGCAGGGGTGTGTATGTATATATGAAACCCATATTAGTCTCCTGATCTCAAAAACTGTCAGAATTGCTGTTGCTGTTCCACTCACATGGAAAGGCAAGATGGGAACTGCTTAAACTGGCACGTACTAATCATTAAATGAATGTATGTAACTATGCCCAGTGTGTGATTTTTATTTTTTCCCCACCATCAGACATACATCTCAAGAGATAAATCTTGACGTCTGTTAAAAATGTATGCAAGGTGCCACCACGGGGTTCTCGCATCATCAAAAATCTTTCTTTCTTACCCCCCACCCCCGGTCCTTTGCCATACATGTATTTTCAGCGATCCCAGTAAATCAGTCTCTCAAAATTGTGTGAAAATAAGACATTTATTTGACAGCATGAATAAACAAAGAACTAATTTGCATAGTATGACCTGTAAATTCTTATATATACTATTTCACTTGAATCATGATACTTAATGTACAACGAATGGTGAAAGCAGTGACTACTATGTAAATATAACTTTTGGATGAAGGTGTAGGCATCAAAGTTTTCATGGTACACATTTCATTTGTCAAGTTATGCATTTAAAAAACATACATGTTTTACTGAGTATAAGTCCTTATTTTTCAGATGTCTAGTGCTAAACTTGTCAGTCCACTCCAAATAAAAAAGAATGTGGGAAACAATTGCAACTGGTATTTTTTGTGCTATAGGGTGGGGAAACTATATGTTTCTTGAACTCTATACTACATAATGAAGAAATAACTAAATATACATTGAATGATAGGTTCAGTCCTAGGCCACAGAGGGCTACACTTCACTCCATTGCAAAGATGCAGCCCTGGTAAAAAATCTGCATGACTCTGACATTATACAGATAGACTAGTAGAATTGATATGACACATCGTTCTGTGTAATGGAACAGGAATGTAGTAAAAAGCTGTTGTAGTTACTATTTGTTATTAAAATATCAGGAGTTTTGTTGCTATTGTGTGTGGTGTTTTGTTTTGGGTTGTTTCCCCACCCCCCACCCCCATTTGTATTGTACTAGTTCTAAAGTTTATTTGTTCTTTGGAAGTATCCAAAGGTGTGGTGGTATGTTTTGGTTGTGTTTTTTTTTTTTTTTGGGGGTGGTGGTGTGTGTGCATAGTTTGTTTTGTTCAGTGTTTTTGGTTTGGTTTTGTGTGTGTGGTTTTGTGGGGTTTTTTTGTTGTGTGTTTTGGGTTTTTTTGTGGTGGGTTTTTTTTTTTTTTTTTTTTTTTTTTTTAATCCTGAGTATAGTTTTGCATCAGGGAAATGTCCTTGTTCTGAATTAGAAGAAGGAATTCTGTGGGTGAGTGTGCTCCATGGGACTTAGCATCTCTGCTGAAATTTCTTTGGCTACCAAGTATCAATTAGAGCTCTTATTTTTCTTCCAGAACAAACAAATTCAGTGTTCTGAGTTGATGAGAGCTAGGCAAATGGCTTCCATATTCCTTTGCTAGATCTCCTGAAACAATCATTGGTCCAAAACAGATATTTGGTGCAGATGTCTTATGTGGTCAGGATTAAGGGAGTGCCAAATTTGCAATCACCCTCAGCAGTAATTATGCGTGATTGTGTGTCATTGGGTAATTTGTGGTTTTCCCAATGTGCTTGCTGTTCAGCTTGTATATAAACATGCAGCCATTTGAGATGTGGCAGAAAGTCACGGAAAAACATCAGAGCTTTTCAGAATGGCCAGTTTCTCAGGTTACTAAAGACTTCTCTGCTTATTTACAAAGGAGACAATACTTCCTTTCTGGGGCAACTTTGATAAAAACCAAGCCTCTTAATCTCTGTCAAATGAACTGGTACTCATTTTTTTTGTTGTCATATTTGTTTAATTGCTTAGGTACAAGCTCTAACACCATAGTGGTTATGTTGAGTTTTGTGATTTCAGTCCAGGCTTTGTTCAGTAATGTGCAACCACTCCTTTAAAATGTTTCCTTTCCTATGTTATCAGTTTTATGTGTGTGTGCAATATTAAGGCTTGGATCACCAAGTCAATTTTGTAAGAACTGACATCTACATTGTATGTCTGAGACAAGAGAGTTTAGTTGCTGCCTAAGAAAGGCATGCTGTCGTGCTGGATCTGTATCCGGTTCTTCACCTTCACAATCACTTCTAGAGGACTTGGGACAGCTTTGGAGTAGAATCATAGAATGGTTTGGGTTTGAAGGGACTTTAAAGGTCATCTAGTCCAACCGCCCCCCTGCAACGAGCAGGGACATCTTCAAAAGGATCATGCTGCTCAGAGCCCTGTCCAACCTGACCTTGAGTGTTTCCAGGAATGGGGCATCTACCACCTCTCTGGGCAACCTGTTCCAGTGTTTCACCACCGTCAGAGACCTCCATAACAAACTTGTCCCAAATATTTCAATATTGGTACCTAAAAATGGATTCATATTTCAGCATTAGAATGGACATATTCTGTTAGAACATTTCATGTGTTGATCTTTGCCTAAAGAACTAATGAAGTTTTTTTTTTTTAAAAATTTTTCTTCTGCTTTACTTGGCGTGTGTGCGGGATCTAGTTTCTGAGTAAATAATCTCTATTTAGAATGATACATACGTAACTGTGCTTGATTTGAGGAATGCTTGACTTGGTGTGCTTGACTTCTGCATGCAGTTATTGAGACTTTGGGCAATTTTGCATGTGGTATAAACGTGCCATTAGACCTGTGAGTTGACTGGCTATATGTGTACCATTAAAGATGCACAAAAGAACAAAGTTGTGCCCTCGCTGCTTTTCTCAGACACCAAAAACTATTTTGAGTACTGAAACATTAGTCTCTTTACAATGTTTACTGTTTTCTTCTAACTTGACTGTATGCTTTTTTGATGTCTCACCTTAGTTTAATGCCACAAAGCTTTTCAGCTCTGTAGATGAAAGCTCATACACAAGGTGAACCTGTACAGTCTGCTACTGTAAAACTGTTAAACCCTTTAAGTTCCCTCAGAAACTCTGCCTGAACTCATTCTTCACAGTTAGCATCTTCAGAGTGCTAAGAACAATTCTTCATCACAATCTATGTAATTCTTTAATAGTGCTGTAGTTCAGCATTGTGCAGGCGTTGGTGCCTCAGACCTGCCTCTCTGCATTCGTTCTACAGAGCCATGTCCAGACTGATGACTGCAGCTTGTTTTAGACTTCAAGTTTTTTGAGGTTCTTACAGTATCAGTAATTTAACCTCATACAAGAACTTTCTGTGGTGCTTTGTGAGAGAACTTGCCATTCTTTCCTAATGTCCTTTTTGGAAATAGTTCCTAGCTGGCAAGTAAACTTAAAGCATTTCTGATAACGTCTTCTCACTTTTATGTATTGTGAGTGCTTTGAAGGCCTGTCTTTACCGGTGCTGATGAAACAGTCTTGCTTGGGTTGCACTTCCAGGTAGCAGAATGAGGATAAAAGAAAATTAACTTGGTGAAGGCTATTTCAGCTTTTTTGGCAAGCAGGCTGCATAAGCTGGTGGCATAACAGCGTGTGAAAGACAGTAGATACTGGGTTTTTTGTACAAGTTGGTCAGCATTCAGATGGTGAGAAGCGGCCACATCACCTTTTAGACCTAGAACGATGGGCTTGCAAAGTATATGTGAACAGTACTGAATAACCTTCATGCAACTGAGAGAAGATCAGATCATGCGGATGGGGGAAGCAATGTGAGCCCAGAGTTAAATGGTTGTTGCCATTCCAGATGCCTTCTGTATCAGTAATTGATTAGTTTAGGTAGGCAAACCTATTGTAGCTGTAGGCTTACATGAAGTACTAGCACCATTGCTTCCAATTGGAAGTATTCCTGATGTCCCTCAGATAAGAACTGATGTAGAGATGCATGTTTGCTGGGAATGTCATTCACATTGCCGCTGTTTGTCCCTTAGAGGAGACAGTTATTACTGAAGATGTGAATGACCCTAGTCACTTCTCTCTGGGGCCTTGCTTGACCTCAGGAGAAGCTGGTGAACTCTGGCCTTGGTTGCAGAATGAGCTAGGGAGATCTGCCCTCTTTACAGCTCCTGTGAAGTTCTCGGTTCTGTCCTGACAGCAGATAACTCTCTATTTAATGCTGACGAGGCCATACGCCTTTTCTAGCCTCTAATCTAATTTCAAAGACGTGCTCTTTAGTGAGCTCACACCAGAGGGCGGCCAGAGCCTTGGCATGATCCTGTGGCATGCTGGCAAGTGCTCTGGCTTGGCATCTGCCAGCGAGCCCTTGCTGCCTGTGGAGAAAAAAGGCAAAATTCTCATCCGATCTAAACTGGATGTGCTGTTTCAGCCTAG